AACTACTTCGAGTTTAGACATCAGCCGTCGATGGAAGAGTATACAAGTGATAACAGTGAATTAGTAAATCAAGACGCCAGAATCGTATGGGCTTCCCTTATATCTTATCTTGAAGTTGCCAGGTATGAGTGCTTGCCCCACCGTTATTCCCGTAACGTCTCAACCTCCTCTGTTCCGCGTAAAAATTAAAAAGAAAAGTCATATCCAACTTGAGTTTGAACTTGTAATTTTTTGGCTATTATTGTGTCATGATTGTCCTCTGGCTAGAAGTACACAGCGTCTTTTTGAGCTTCTTTCTGTTATTTGATTCGGTAACCTCTGCTGTAACTTCTTATAATGTAGGTGTCTTTAAGCCAACTGACCATGATCTTAGTAGCTCTAGCTGATGAAGTACGAAATTTTGTCAAACATGTTTCTTGCGCTGCAAAAGTTTGCTTTAAAAGAAGACGAGCTAGAACTAAAATGTCATAATTAAAACTTGATGACGAAGAGAGACTTAGGATACGATTATGAAGACATTGTGGAAAACTTGTGATAATACCTGGATTTCATTTTTTACAACACAGCAATCAATTCCAAACATCAATCAAGTTTTCTCTTTAGTTTTAAAGTTGAGTTGATGTTATTGGCTATATTAAATGGATTGAAAAGGTTTAGATGGTATTTTGTCTGTTTGCAAATAGTTGAATTTACTGGAAGGTAGAGTTGTTGCAACGTGTTAACATGAAACACAACAATAAATTTTATTGATATGTGAAAAGTTTTCATTGACTATCTACTGGCAAGTTGTTATATTATATTTCAACCCAACCATTTTCCACAATTTGTAAACACCATTACAAAATAATTAGTCAGGGAAACATACACCATGTTTGAAATGTCATGTCCATAGTAAGTGAACAGGATTGAGGAGGGTGTATGTGGGAACAGGCTCTCTTGTCTGTATTGTTAATTTGCTAATCGCTCCTATTGCCAATTTTTTGATGAGGTTGGGCTGTCAAAGAAAAGGAACAGAGGATTTTAGTAGGCAATGATTTTTTTCAAACCTGGAAACTATCATTGTGAAAGCCATACTTGTGCCTGGTATCTCATTCTTATTCTGATAAATTAGTTTTAAGGATACAATATTTTATTACAAAAATTTGATGCATAAGCTGTGCACAAAACTTTAATTTGACTATACTTTTATAGCCAACTCCAATCCCTACATATTATGAAATGTCAGTAGGATCAGTGGAAAAATGTATCAAACATCTGTAAGAGTTCATGTAATTACTTTAATTACATGAATATTAACTGATACCAGGAGATCTAATAATATTAAAAGGAATGTAAAATTTGTTTGAAAAAATTAGAACTCAGCATAGGCCAAATAAACAAGATTCTTAGAAAAAGAAATGTGTACTAATGAAAAAAGCGAGGCAACCTTTTTACCGGTTTTATACATTGAAAACACACACACACACATGCAGATTTCTTATAAACCTGTGGTCAAGCTTGCCATGACATCAAAATTTTGATGCACACCTCAAAAGGTGAAGAAATAAATTTCAAGTTTCTATTTATTCAGTTTAGGTTTGTTAGGTAAAATTGAGTCAAACACTCATTCAACAACAGGTTCGAGAAATGTTCACAACTAATTTACTCGGTTAGCCTACCTAGAACAATCAACTTCATGTACAAATAAGACTAGGTATGTACTGATGATGCCCAAAAAACTATCTGTGGTAAGAGGGCAGGCTTTCCTTTCTTCATTTAAAAAAATACTGAGGTTATCATCTTTCCACAAGCTCAGTGGAAAGTGAGAGTGAGATAGACTGATAGGGACTATGTTACTTGGGTAAATATCCAGAGAAGGATAAAATGCAAGATGTGGTCTGCACAACTTTCTTATTTTAATTTTATAACCAATTAAGCTAAATTATTTATATCCTTACTTTGTGCATTATGTGGATGCCAATTAAATTAACTGTCATGCAGGTCAAAGTAAAAACCATGAATTAAAATAGCAGAGCCCACTTTAATTTCAGTCCTGATTAATGAGGGATCCTTGCTTTTCCAGTATCCCGCAATTTAAAACTCACATATCTTGTGACCAATTCCTTAGCTTATCATTGTTTAGTTTGGATATGGGTATTGGTAAGAAAAACTATGCATTGATGAAAGCTTGAGCAAGAGTATTTAATGCAACTCAAATAAGAACATTACATTTTACAATGTGGTAACTTACACAGCAAAATTATATAATCACAAAATTCCAAACAAAGAAAGTCTGGTTATTGACTAACTTGCTTCAACTTTTGAGGGCTTGAGGCACAAAGAAATAGATATGGTAAACATTTACAATAAATACAAAGTTAAAAGTTGAAAAGCTAAGAGATATACATTACAATCATCAAATCCTATGCATCCTAACAAAAAAGGGTCATTTACCACTATAACTTCTCCCACACATTCATACTTACAGGAAATCATTAATTTTTGTCACAAGGTGGTACTGTACTTACAATAAATGCATTGCAAATGCATTTTTCTAGAGTTATCTCATAGCTTATGACTGTGCAGGTCATGTAGAAGCTTCCTGCTTAGGGACTGACATTTCCATTACCTCAGCAAACTGTAATCATCAGAATTGCAAGCCAAGGTGTATTTACTAAGTGCTAAAGTTTCCAAAGTAGTCACTTAATTGTTACAGTTAAGTTCACTCCTTTTTGAGGCCATCTTCAGATTGATCATCCTGTTACATGCCAAAATATCAAATGTTGCTCTCATATTCAAATACTTGCTTTAAATCAAAAGTTATAATTGTTTTAATAACCTTCTTCCTTTAACTCTTTAACCCCTGAGAGTGACTTGCATCTAATTTCCCCTTTAAGTATCACCCCTGAATCAAACATTAAGGTTATGAGAATGAAGGAAATAATAATAAACTGAAGAACCTCTTGATTGTTAAACAAATTCTCCCTGCCAGCACATGAGGAAATGTATAGAGAACAGTATGTAGAATATGCATACTGATGTTAGGGTGTAAAGGGTTAATGGTGCTCCAGAAATAGCAAATAATATTGGAGAGAAAGAAAAATAATTCTTGAAACATTCTATGTTAAATGAAACTTTGTTATGAATGTTAGTTGCGATAGCAATGAAAACATCTGTGAAGCTACAATAACAATTACCTTTCCATGTAAACAAACCATAATGAAGCATGATATGAATAAATTGAATCTCACCCAGTTTAAATGTAGAATCTGAAACCTAATAAACTTACTAGTGAATAGGAAAAAGGTCAATGTGTTTTTCCTGCTTCTGTCTTTCTAAATACCACAAATCAATCATGCCACCACTTCAGTTTGATTTTTTTGAAGATGTGTACTTTTTCTTATGGTTATTTATTTTTAGTATCTATATTTTACCAGCTGACATCTGAGAAGAATCAAGTCCACACTGATGATTTGACACAGTGTAAGCAAACCCTACAACTGATTAAATTTTATTTGATCAAAAACATGAAGGGCAATAGAAGAAATTGGCTAGCACAATTCAAGTTTCCCTTATAAAGTGTTCTGTGATCATTTCTTCTATCATATGGTAAAGCTTACAGTTTCTCCCATTTCAATGTCTCTTGTTCATCTGTTTGCTTTCCCAACAATCTTAACTATTGTTGCCAAAAACTGCAAGGAGCATATAAAATGTGTAGAGTTATTAACACTTTAATTTATGAGGGTGACTAACATCTAATTTCTCCTTTCAATATCATCCCTAAATCAAGCATTAAGGTCATCAGAAAAAAAGGAAATGATAATCAATAATAATTAAAAATTATTTACTACTTATATAGCACAAAATATATGTGGATATGATCTAATGTGCAATACAATAAGACTAAGCAAAATAAAACATGAAAACGAACTATAAAAGGCTAAGAATATACAATTTGACTAACTAAAAACGAACTATAAAAGCAAACATGAAAATGCCTGCCTAAAGAGATGTGTTTTAAGAAGTGTTTTAAAACAATTAAGATCATTTACTGCTCTTATATCTGATGGCAATCTGTTCCAAAGTTTAGGAGCAGATGCCATAAATGATCTATCACCTAAAGTTTTCTTAGTTATGGTCCTGGGTGGCAATAATTGTAGTTCAGACTGAGGTCGTAACATCATACGTCCAAATTGTTGCTTAACGTTAATTAGATCTGTAATGTACTGAGGTGCCAGCCCGTGGATAGCCTTGAACGCTAAAATAAGTAATTTAAATTCAATTCTGAAACAGACAAGTAACCAATGCAAGGAAAACAAAGTAGGAGTTATATGACAAAAACGAGAAAGGTAACAAACAAGTCGGGCAGCACTGTTCTGAATACGTTGCAACTTGTTGAGATGTGCGGCTGGTAGACCATACAGCAAACCATTGCAATAATCAATACGTGTGGTGATGAATGCATGAACGAGTGTTTGTGTGGAGTCTTTAGATAAATACTTTCAGATGCGTCTGATGTTATACAGGTGAAATGACAAGGTCTTACACATCTTGTTTATATGACAGCCCATGTGCATTTTTTCATCAAACCACGATCCAAAGTTTTTAACGGCAGTCACAAGACTGATAGTAGCGTCACCAACGACCAACCCCTTGATGTCAACTTTAGGGAGCTGTTGTCTCGTTCTGATTAGTATAAATTCTGTCTTACAATCATTTACTTTAAGCTTGTCTTTAATCATCCAACATCTGATGGCGCTGATACAGCGTTCCATAGCGTCCACTGCGTTGCTTTGAGAAGATGTAGTGTCAGGCTTAAAAGATAAATACAATTGAGTGTCATCTGCATAGGCGTGTGTCCGAGGAAGATGACCTTTGATGATGTCAAAGAGCTTGCTCGCATATATTGTGAATAACAGCGGACCGAGGCATGATCCTTGGGGTACACCACAGGACAGATGACGACTCTGAGAGAAGTTATTTTCAAAAGAAACACATTGTGTCCTGTCAGAAAGATACGACGCGATCCACTCTAACGCATATCCACGTATCCCAAAACTCAACCTAAGGCGATTTCATAGTACTTGATGGTCTACAGTGTCAAACATGGCACTGAGATCGAGAAATACAAGTAGAGGTACTTGCTGACGGTCCGTGTTCATCAAGATGTCATTCTGAACTTTTATTAATGCTGTCTCAGTGCTGTGCGATTTTCTGTAGGCAGATTATAGTAAGGGATATAAAGCGTAGAGTAAGGGATATAAAGCGTGGACTGAAGAACCTCTTGATTGTTAAACAAATTCTCCTTGCCAGCACATTAGGAAATGTACAGAGAGTAGTATGGGGAATATGCATACTGATGTAAGGGTGTAAAGAATTAAAGACATAATGTAATCAGTTTTATATATGTAGAGTATTGCGTGAATATATAATTGTGGTGAGTGCAAGTGCCAAGTAAACATCAGTCTATGGTCTTCTACTCTTCCACCTTGGAGGGTGTCTTGTGTACATAAAAATTGAAGTTAAGTGCCTTTAAGACCTTTTTTGGCTATTAAGATCAACAAAGAACAACAGCCACACCAAAAAATATTTTTCATGAAAGACACCTTTACAATGGTAGGTACACACAACTGACATGTTTGAGTGTAGCATGTCGAGCAGTAAGGTATGAATTTTTCAGTTTGATTTTCATTACTTGCAACCAGCTTATTTCTATCAGCTTTAAAACCTTCTGTATCCTCACTTTCAAAGAAAAGCATTTCCCATGAACATTTAAACATTAAAGACATAAGCTACCAGTGACAGGATTTTTCATTGTTTCCATAACATCAGATTTGCATCACATTTTTTTGTCACATTTGAAAGCATAAGAAAATTTTAATCGTTACAATATAATGAAATCCCCCATTTTAACCCTTTTAGTCCCACCAGTGACCTAGAAAGAATTTCTCCTTACACAATCAGTACAATATCAAGCAGACAAGTAATGAGAATAAAGAAAAATATCAATTAAGGGGTAATTGGTTGATCCAACTCCAAATTCTCCAACCTATCATAACATAATCATACGTGCCAGAAAGAGAGTAAATAAATGTAACATACTCCAGTAAAGTGTTATTACATACAATGAAGTTTCAAACTCATTGAAATTAAGTTGACTTCATGATTCAGATTTTAGTTTAAGAAATCTGTAATATCTCTTGCGTGGGTAAAAAGAAAATGCCATGTATGAATTCTAAAATAGTAAATGCCAAAAACTTTAAGATGGAATTTAAAAAACAACTAAAAATATGGCATATCTATTCACTGAGATTTTAATCATTAGTTGGCACACAGAGATATAAAAGAGGCTTTGTGAAAAAGATCATGTCAATAAAATTAACGATTCAGGAGAAGCATATGACATCAACTAGTTTACTGATGTTCTCACCTGAATTCAGTCTGGGAAGAGAACTCTGCAACACTTCTGTTTTATCTTCTCACACTTGAATTAAAACATAAAAATTTAATTATTTTCAGGCAGGTTAAGGAGGAAATTAAAGGAATGGATATATGTTACTGAAAAGAAACCCATACAATAAAAATAGAGCAGAAGCATAATATCTACGTGTCTTTGCTTCTGAATACAGCTATTTTTTAAGCAATTATCTACATATGTAAACCGGGTGCAATATACGGTCGTAAAAGCAATTTCACTCAAACCTTCCTCCTTGAGGGGTGCCTTGTGTATCAAATATATCATGTTCAGTACCTCCAGAGTCATAAGCCGGGCTTTTGGGGCTACAAAATAATAAAATAATCAAAGCGTTATGGCAGGTCAATTTATCTAGTCAATTAAGTATAGTTTCCTACAATCGAATGAAAAGTTTAAAATGTGCTTCACTTGTGCTACATATACTGATTTATCGTTCTTAATTACTCATGAAATTCCGAGAGTGTGACTCAATTAATTCTAAAGAAAATATCCAATCAGGTTACAGAAATGGTTCGCAAATTGTAAACTGATAATGTGTTAGCAAAACCTCCTTAAATTATGGTGCTGATACGAATTTATCGTTCATAATCACTTTTGAAATTCCGAGATTGTACCCCAATGAATTCAACAGAAAATATCCAAGAAGGTTACTGAGACGGACCCTCAAAAACTGCTCTCGAATTAAAAAACTGTAAACAACAGCTATTTACGCTAATCATGTGCTTATCAGCGTGCTTGTGAGCTCAAATTGCCAAGACCTCGTTTCATTACACGACCACAGCTTAGACGCTTCTTGCAAAATTTGATGACTATCGATTTCAGAGATTGATTCTTCAGTTTCCAACATTAGGTGAAAAATATCTTATCTCATGCATGTTCATCATAACTCGAGCAGTAAGTACGCCTCGAGATGTTGAGAGAAGAGAAAGTGGCTCCATGTTTTGTGAGACAATTGAAACCATTTCCTGAAGTTCGAACGAATCGAGTAGAAAGCATGAAAACATAGCGCTGAAAAGTATCATGACTAAACAATGAAATTCACTCATTCCGCAGTAGAACTGACTCCATTTCACCTGTGAGTTTGTTTGCACCACACATTTGCGGTCCGTAATTTAATTCTCAGATATTTGACGGGTTCTCATAACAATATTGTCAAAATCAAATTACCGCGTCAGACTTAGTGTAAACATGGACATCGCTGACTCAATCTCACTTTATTTCAATTTTGGGAAAGGCTACCACTTCGTTCCTAAGCTAAAACAACACTTCTCCGACAAAGCGCGATTTTTTAAAAGAATAGAGTAAATCTTGCGATAGTTGACTAAAGAGAGAAAGAGGTAAAAACTTGCGCTCGCCGTTCGCAATCATTTGAAAGCTTTCTAGGCAAAACAAAATCCGTAAGATAACTTCTTTTCCATGAACACCACGACCGTATAAAACACTCCAAACGACAGGACAAGAAATACCTTGAAGAATTCGAACACTTTGAAATGTTATTCGAGCGATGAACCGGCGCGAAGCTTTTGGGCGATGAAGGCCAAAGTCGTTGTTTTATCGAAACGTGATTTTAATTATAAACTGAAGCTAGTATCAAACGACGATTGTTAAAAAAGGTTTGAATTTTTCTGGGCCTTAGCGTAGGAGAAAACCTAGATAAGACACGACTTACCTCTTCTTCTTTTTCGGATCCTTTGTAGTTCGCTTCTCTTTGTTGATGACCTCTTCTCAGTCTGTTTTCAGGAGCGTATTTCTGTATTTCCTTCTCGCGTTGCTCTTCGCTAGATATTCGCCTTTATACTTATGTCTTTTCTTGTTCTCTTTCGCGTTCCTTTCGCCGTATTCTGCCTATTTTGGTGTCCTCTCTAACTTTCTTGCACGTTTTTCTCGACTCGCTTTACGTCTTTTACTTCTTGTTTTCTTTTGGTCGCCGGTCTCCTTCTCTTCACCATATTTTTAATCAAAACCCTCTATTTCCCTACTACTACCATTTCTCTCTAATTTCTCTACTACTATTTCGTATAATTATGGGGCAACGCTGTGCGCGCTCCGTTATTATTATTTTGACTTTTTTGCGCCTTAAAGATGAGAAAATATCATTGTATTATTATTGTTTTGATCGTACGCGGTTGTTTTGACCGAACACACAAAGTCACTTGCAGGGTTTAAATAAATTATTTTTGCTTTTAATTATGATAGGCTATCTCGTATTTTATATATATATATATATATATATATATATATATACACATATATATATATTATTAACAAGTAATCACATGATTTTTCTCGTGCAATTTGCAATAAATAAGCACATGTTAATTTTTTCAAAGACCACAAATTGCACTCGCCCTACGGGCTCGAGTAATTTTGTCGGTCTTTGAAAAAGTTTACTCATGCTTATTTATTCCAAATTGCTCTCGAAATCATGTGATTACTTTTACTAACATAGCTCTCAGTTTGAAGCGAAGGTCAACAAGGACGACTTGATGTCTTCGTTTTGGTAGTTCTCAGGTTTCGCAGGGTTTGGCAAGTCCTTCTCGCGTGTTATTTTCTTGTGGAAGCTTACACCTTTTCCTTTTGTATTTTAATATGTATTTTGAAATTCAACAATAAGACAATTTACTATAATTCAGCTGTTCGAAATTCTTGTCACAAAGGTCAAACAAGTCAACCAGGACAGTTTGACTATTGCTACATCATAGTTGACGTCATATACAAGATGGCGTGCTTCCAGCTGCGAAAGTCGTAAATGAGGACAATTTCAGGGTGCTCTTGTTGTAATTGCAAGGCAAACTGGACAAAACGATGGTTCCTTTAGAACTCCTGAGGTAGAGTTCTTCTGACTGTGATAAACTTTTTCTAGACCGTACTTTAAGCCACCCTTAGAAAATCGAGAAAGCGTCAAAATAAACCTCTCGACATGAAAACCACAATATGGAGCTTTTGCAAATAAAAATGTGATATTGGTCCATGCTTACTGGCCCATTAAAGCACTTTTAAAATAAAAAAGTTAACATCCTAAGGCTGGTTTCGTTTCTATGTGGGAAACATAGTGATCATGTGTGCAATACGGTTTGGCCGGCTAGTCTCAATAGCGTTCTTTTTGTTTGTGCAACAAATACTGTTGACTATAGGGCAATTGTACACCAGCCGTTTACTTTGTAAAGGAATAATTGTTTAAACAATAAATCATCGCCTCTTATTGTATGGAATGTTAGGTCATTGTTCATTTCGGCATACTTTTCATATTATCAAACATGAACACTCCACGGCCTCATGATCTCTGAGCATTTTCTATGACAGAAAAGTGTCGAATAATCTGCAAATAATTCAGCGTCAACGAGGCCATTCAAGTGACGTTCCAAGCCCGGTACTATGTCAGACAGCAGTACTAATTCCGCCCAGAAAGAGCTTGCATACAATGAAGTCGCTAAACTGGTCCCGCTATCGATGGCTATTGTGGCAACAAACCTGTTAGTGGTTGTTCTTTTTTGGAAAAGGCGATACCTACAAACCTTATCAAATTTTCCTTTACTTAGTCTTGCCGTATGTGACTTTGTCACAGGATTTGTCAACATACCCTTGCTAATCATATTCATGCTTATCCCAACGATGGAAATTGACAACCCCAGAGGGTTGATATCAAATTTGAGTTACTCTATGTTGGTTACTCATGCTTTTACTTCCACGGCGACTGTATACCACATTTTACTCGTGATAACTGACAAGTATTTTGCCATTAAGTGGCCTCTGAAACATCGTTTGCTCACCAAGAAAAAGATGTCAGCGTCGTTGGCAGTCGTCTGGCTGTTATCTTTTGTCATCGCCTTAATTCCAGTTTCATGGATAAACGTTAGTCAAAAACCTATTGGAAGAAAGTTAATGGTGGGCTATGGGATATGTTGCCTCGTGTTTGTTTTCCTCTTTTCATATCTCTTTATGGTGTACGCGTTAGTGGTGATGTTCAGAATCATATCTGAAAAAACCAAACAGAAAGATTCAACGCTGCTCAGACGAAATAGTCGTAACATGGAAGTTACAAAAAACAAACGTCGTGTATCCATTATTTTTGCTGTGATGGCCACGGTCTTCGCGGTTTGTTGGCTTCCATGGTTCATGCTCACGTTCCTAGTCAATCTACGAGTGCAAATAGAGAACCTAGAATACTTCATGGAATGGTTTATACCATTTAGATATGTCACCTCTATCATAAACCCATTGCTTTATACATTCTTTAAACTGGACTTTCGTCAGGCTTTTAAAGAGACGGTATGGAACAAAATTGTTTGTAAACCTTCTTTCAATGCAAGGGCAACGATTATGAAATGGCGAAGGCGTTCTTTTCGGCTGAGGGAGAACAATGGAACAAAAAAGAACAAAAAAGCTATATATGTGGTAGGACGAGGGAATGATACAAATTCTGTATCAAATAGTTATGTTCACTATGTTTCGTCTGTGTGAACGACGTATGCTGGCTAAGAGATGTAGGCAACACTACGGCAATTCAGTAGTATGTCAGAACAGCGTTTATAATGAAAGTAATTAGCATTAACACTTGTTTGTGCCTAACTATGTATTTCACTTTTAATTACCCTGCCAAACATTTATTCTAAGTTCAGTGATGGTGTCCAGTTGCATCCAAGTAGACCTGAGATTTCTCCAAGTGTAAACTATAGTTAGTAATAAATATATAGATATTATATGTTTCACGTGAGAGCGGATTCATGCTTGATTCAACCAGCTGAATGTTACGTGCATGCAAATTTTTCATTCAGTCATTCAGCTGTAAAATGACTATGTAGACAGTCAAAACAATTCAGCTGTAAATTTGTTTAAGTTGTTTAGAGCAATAAAGTATTATTATAAAATAATATAATAATATTTATTTTAAGAATAAAATAAATCTTCCGTTACGGACCCCAGAGAAAACCACTCACTGAAATAGCAAGGATGAAAAATTTGCCAATCACAACTGTCGTGCCTTTCGGGTGACGCGTAACCTGCCAATCTCGAAGCCAGATAAAGGCTAGCAGCATACAGTCGAACGGCGCGATCTGTATTACAAGCGGCTATATTGTGTAATGAGATGCAACACTCATGTTATTAACAATTTATTTGATTACGGTAAACCCCGCACACAGCGTAAGAGAATTTGATGTTACTCGTTAGTTTATTCTTCCTTGAATAAAAAGAAGTAGACAGGTTTACGACTGAATTCTAGGATAATTTTTTGACAAAATAAGAATAGACCTACTTACATGTAAGATAGATAGTTCATTGATAGCCGCCTTGCAACAAAAAAATTGAATTATACGATTATTACTAAATGATAACATTAGATGATACTAGCATGGAAAACTCTCCATTTCTCTACCAAAAGGAATTACCACTCTTTCTCCCAAAGAAGATTCGGATTTATCACTATAGGAAGGTTTTAATCATTGAATCTATGGGGCTCTCCAACTTGATTTATGGGCATAGGATGAAGTATGGAGTGGACCATCGGACGCGTGGACTATTGGACTATTTTTTGGACCATTTTCTGGTTAACGTTAACGCCGACTTCCTTTATCTATCCTAGAGTCACGTGTGATTCTTTTAAGTCGACTTGTGCCAGTGCTAAACGATACTCACTGGTTGTTACAATTCATTTACCAGTTGCTTCACGTTTCCCTTTGTTTAACAGTAAAGGACAAAAAAGTCATTTTTTCCATTTCCCCACAGCTCACTCGCTTAAAATTCATTTTTAATATTTTTAAAAAACGTTTTCAGTGAGATAAATCTAAAAGAGACGTAATTTAGTTACATAGAGCCTTAAAACTTAGTCTTCAGTGAGACAAAGCTGAAAACAGTGTAAATTTAGCGACAAACAAACGGAAACATCTTTTCGGTGACATAAAGCTAAAAGCAGCGTAGTTCCGCAACAAAAAGAGTAAAACGTTGCTTTTTGTGACATAAATCCCAGAACAGCCCAATTTAGCTGCAAACAAACCAAAATATGTTTTCGGTGCGAAAAAGCCGAGAAAAGGGTAATTTGGCCACAAAAATCGCAGAAACGTTGTATTAAGTGAGTTAAAGCTAAAGTCAGCGTGATTAGCAGACAAAATTTTTTGAGTTTTGAAAAGAGCGTAATTCAGTGGCAAACAAGCCAAACAAGCCATTGTTTGACCCACTTTAGCTTGTTGGTGGATTTTGTCCATATGAGTTAATTGAGCCAACTCAGCTACTTTCTGCATCTTGTGCCGTTTGACTGTTCCCACTTTTTGCAACTTTTCAGTTTAACTGTCTCCTTGCTAGTTTGACTATTTAACCACTTAAGTTATATAAACTGGTTGTGCTTTTTGTCCGATGAAACCATAACCCTGAGCTAGTTTGACCATTTTAGAAACGTTTTTAAATTACAATTTTTTCTCAAAATCGGTAATTTGCGAAAGGGAAATACGTAATTTGTGAGTTGAAATCTGTAATTTTTTGAAAAAGGTAATTGGGTAGTTTGTAATTGTGCAGTTTAAATAAATTAACACATCGGCTATGTGAAAGAGAAATTGCCCCATTAAGCCATAAAATGCAAATCTGTTATTAAAAAAATTGTTTAGCGTTGAAGCTGTACTGTTTTGATCACCACTTGACGTCACAACATGACGACCATATCGGAAATCATAGATTTCCAGTGAAATGTTTGCTGTTTATTCGTTATCGCTCGGCGTATGTTCCAATAATGCTAATGATAATCTGAACAGATGGTGTTCTTCGCGTGTACTCAAGATGAGGGTCATCAAGGAGTAATAAAGGTGAAATTTAGGGCACAAACGTAACAGGACATTTGAAATGGCACGTTCGATTGAGGTATGTTTTTTAACTTTCCTTGCCTTTAAGTTCAGGTAATTAAATAAATTTTGCGGAGTCAAAAAAATTATGGAGCTGATCTTCAATCTATTTTCTTTCGATGCAACTGTTAATTATCGTGATGCCAACTGCAGGAAAAAAAGTGCATGAGTGGTCTTGATTTATGTTTTATTCAATTACCAACCGCCATTTTGTGTTTTGACAATGTTTTTAATGCACCGATGCTTTCAAACAATGTCGAAAAAAGGGTTCCTCAACGCCAGGGAATTTCACTCTAAGTAGAGGGGAATTTATGTTTTTCGAAGAAATTCAAGTTTTTCAGCACTCCCTGAGTACTGAAAGACTGCACTCACCCCTCCCTGAGTACTAATATTTTGTCTCCCCCTCCCCTTGATAAAATGGTCGAAACAATGGTAAAAAAAATGGTCCAAAAAAAAAGTTCCAAAAAAAAAAGGTCCAGATATGCGTGGTCCAAAAAAAAGTCCAATGGTCCAATGGTTCAGTCCAGATTTTACCCATGCCTCGATTTATGTGGTTTCAAACGTGACTGCTCCTAGATAAACACTTGCTTCAATTAAGGACAGACTGTTTTGATTTCTTTGGAACAACTAAAGGGATAAGAAGAAAATGAAACGTAATTTCTTTTTCTTCCCTTTTTTTTTTTTGTAGAGTGTTTTCTCCTTTTTTTAAGGCATTGGTAATGTTTTATTATATCACTAATGGTGGTATTGTATTTAGAGAGCTGTTTTGTTTCATACGTAGCTCTCCAGATTGTATGAGAGCCAATGCATTAAGTTGCAAAATTCTCTTTTTGTTCTCAAGGAAACTACTTGAGAAGAAAATCCAAGAAATTAGTGTTTTGACTGTAACGCGAATTCATGATTTGCCCTATTGTAACGTCCACGATCGACAGTTGTTGACAATAAAGCGTCCTTTGGTTGACGAAGATCTGTTTGTTAATTTATGTTCCATATGGTAACTTGTTACCTTGTGTTCGTTACCTTTCTCGATGCAGAAATGTTGTTCCGAAAGTGGAATATGATGTTTTCATGGTCAGGTTGAATTTGATCGTTCGATCAGTCGCCCTGAAAATAAATTGTTTACAGAAGGGGTTATCACTTATGTATGAAGATTTTGCCGGATTCTCCTTAATTATAGTCAGTGGTTCATAAGCCATTGTTTGATCGTCTAATTAACAGTTGTATGAGCTGACCTTTGGATGATTATATTGAGATAAGAAACTAGTTAACAGGCAACTGACGGGATTTGAATATGAAAGGTGACAAGGTTGGCAACGAAAGTAATGGAACTCTTGTCACTTTTCGGTTTCTTGGAAACTAAGTACACACAAAATAATTTACTTCCATTTAGGTCACATATTAAAGTGAAGGCTAAGCTTAGTAGTCCTCTATTATCTTGAAGTCTTTTTCTTTGGATATCGTTAACCATCAACCACAATTTTGGCTTAGGAAAGACGCCAGGAAATGTACCCACCAGCCCTTGTAAGAAAACAAACTGTAAGGCAGGATCGGATAGTTATTCACGCTACTGTATGTTCTATGAAAAACTACTTCAAACTTTCGATCCCAAGCAAACTTTTCATAAATGTTATTGAGTTTTGTTTTGTCTTTTAACATCTATTTTTCATCATCACATCACTGAGATACTTCGATTGCGATCAAAACACTCACATCAATTTGAGGTGCAGTTAATTGTCATTAATTACCACTTGAATATGACTTAAACATATTCTTGTTTTTTAATGCATGAAATAAAAGTGAAGGAAATGATAATCACCACCTGCAATAGAAACAAAAGCTTAACGCTGCTGCCTAATCCACAGCAACCAAACTACATCTTTCCGACTTATACTGACCCCACGAAAAAACTTTCATGCTGAAGGAGACCAGCACGGTGAGAATTAATTCGCTATAGATAGGAAAACGACTTTCTTAAGCAGATCAGTTCTTTTTGATGTTGAAACTGAAAATTTTTGTCTTCAGTTTCACGCTTTACCCCACTCTGCGAAAATCATTTCTATTGAAGACATTATTTTGAACGAATAATCGAAAAAACTAAATGGCATCGCATTTGTTAAATTTAATTCCATTTTCAGACTGTAAAGGTTAATATATTTTTGGCTATAACTTTGGGTTCTTTATCTAATCGATGATTTCAGGCACACTTTTTGTACTCAACAATGACCGGTAACCTAATACGAGAGTCGAACATCGGATTGTCCCAGGACTAAACCGAACGGCATGAAGGACGTGTACATTGTGATAATCCCTAAACATTACTTGATTCTATGATTTGATTCGGGTCTTGTTCGAGAAAGAAGCCTGAGGGAAAACAGCTGACAAAAGATACACATTTACCCCTCAAGCCAAAAACGTTCAATACTTTATGAGCCTCTTTATCCTATAACTTTTATTTTTGTTTCGTTTCGTTTTGTCTTTTGTTTTGTTTTGTTTTTGGTTACTATGGAGCTTTCCGAAAAGACTCCCTATGTAATTAAGCGTTCTTTGTATTCATGCATTTCTTTTACCTTTCCAAGCGCCACAATAATATCTATTTACGTAATCATGAATTTTATTCACTGTATCAAGGGATCGAAGCGTTTCTTTACACCAATTTAGGGACTAGTCATCATTTTACGAAGAGAAGGGGTTAGGGGAAACATAAAAAGCGAACAACTTTCCTTCAAACTAAAAGGCGTGCTTTCTTATTTTACATAATAATTTGCATGCAAACGTTTTAGCGTGCTCATTGGCTAAGGACATGTATTTATTCCATACAGAACAGATAGTTGAATTTGCGTGCAGAAAGTTGAAATTAAATTGAAAAGAAATTCGTGAAAGCACAAGAAAGTAAAATTGCGGACAGATTA